CATCTGTGAACACCTTGATGTAGAAGGTCACTCGTCCCGGCTGCTTCCCTTTCTCATATATTTGCCACTCTTAGAGAATATGCTAATTTTCTTCTCGTAAATGTACTTGTCTTTTACTTCTACTACTAAATGTACTTCCTAATCTCACAAATTTGTGTGTTTTTTCACTTTAATCTCAGAGAATATCCAAAGGACCTGTGGTATCTCTCTTTCACACACCGCGAGTGAAGCAGCTTTTCACTGAAGGACCTGCCCGGTGCTTTCAGATTGTTCTGCATGGGGTGGGACATGTTCTCCATGAGGGATCATGACTTCGCCCTCATCTCCTTTGCGACTGTGGATCAATAGTAGAGCGGGTTGACCTTCAATCAGAGGGTCGGCGGTTTGATCCCCGGCTCCGCTAGTTCATGCGTCCTTGGGCACTCAACCCCAAATTGCTCCCGTAGGTGTGTGAATGGGTATGAATGGTTGGATGACATCTAGTGTTAAAGCACTTTGAGTGGTCGGAGGACTAGAAAGGCGTACAAGTCTGTTTACCATTTACTTATCACTTCCACTAGATAGAGGGGGCATCCCAGGACCAAGCTGGCCTTCATAACTAGTCTGTTTAGTCTCTTCCTGTCAGCAGTCAAGATGCTGCTGCCCCAGCAGACTACTCCCTGAAGATGACTGATGCCACTACAGAATTGAAAAAGGTCCTCAGGAGTTCTCACTGCACTGAGACTCCCCAGCATATAGAGTCGGTGTTGTCCCTTTTTGTAAAGTGCTTTTGTGTTATCTGTCCAGTCCTGTGTATTATTCAGGTGAACATCCAGGTAGTTATAAGATAAGGTAAGATAGACTTTATTGTCCCGAAGGAAATTTGCCTTGGACACATACAGTATCTGCTGTTAAAAAATACAAAAATAACATAGTGAATACATACAGTACATACACAGACTATCGCCACTCCACATGCTTGCACACCCAGTACCTACAGTACATGTACAGCCAACAAATAAATTGCACACTGCCCATTGTACAACACACCTGTAGTCATCGTAATAGTGTACATAATATGTACAGTGGTAGTAGAGCAGCCTCATCAACATAGAATCATCATAGAAAGTACATGTTAAGATAAAAATCAGCGTTACAGGGGTTAGGCTCTGGCTAGCTTGCCATTTAGGGCTTTGATGGACAGGGGGACTAAGGAGTTCTTAAAGTGGTTGAGCCTGCACTGGGCGACTCTGAAGCATCTGCCTGAGGGAAGAAGCTGGTATTCAGAGTGGAGGACATGGGTGGGGTCTGAAATAATCTTCTGGGCCTGTCTGATTATAGTTTCATCAAAGGCAGCCTGGAGTGTGGGATGCTGTCAGACTCCCATGATTTTCATGGCTCTTTGTGTTAGTCGGGTAATCTGGGCTTTCAGCTGTACACTGAGATGCCAAACCGCAGGATGCTCTCAACAACGGCGTGGTAGAAGAGGAGCAACACTTTCTGGTTGACACCAAGACCCTCAGCCTACGAAGGAAATGTAGCCGCTGTTGGAGCCTATGCAGACATTTTGAGAGTGTTTGCACCTGTACATTGTCTTGTATCCTCACATACTGTGGTTGGTTGGTGAGGTCGTCCAAGATCTAGATTTGCCTATGTCTGTTGAGGTCCTTTGCGTGCGGGGTCTTTGGCACTGGTACCATGCTGGAAGTTTTCTACAGCTGTGGCGCTGTCCACAACTTCAGGCTCAGGTTAAGTGTTCAAGGTTTTGCAAGTCCTGCACAGGACTTAAAAAACCTTGAGCCTTGATGCCATCCGGACCTGCAGCTGCGTGATAGAGGTTGGGAGTGGGGGCACCGGACAGGAAATACAGTGGATGTGAGCTGAATGTAGGAGGTGGAGATGGGACAATATACAGGGGATACAGAGGTTCAAATCATTCACCCACTTGCGGTTTCCTAGAGGCTTAGATTTGGGTTCCTCATAGCCAAAGGTGGTTTTGAGGCCCCTCAAGACTCAGTTTATGTTGCTCTGCTGCAAATACTCCTCCACCTGTAGCAGTTTTTCCCATCTGTGATCCTGCTCCTCAGCTCTCTATGCACATTCTTTAGCTATTACTTATTTTCTGACATAAATACCCTCTTTTTTTCCTTGAAGAGAATCTTTATGTCAGGAGTTGATACAGTCGGTTATACAGTGTGTGAGACTATCAATATCTTCCCTAGGTTATGATCTGATCTCCCAAGGGGAGAGAGAGGTGATGGGTTGTATGCTTCCTTGGTGTTGGCATGAAAAAAATCCAAACTTTCGTCTCTGGGGTGGCATGTATAATGAGTGAGTGTGTGCAGAGTGTAGAAGGGAGAAGCATGATTAAAGACACAAGAGGGTGTTGTGTCTGTTGTCTGCTTGTAGGAATATACGCCGCTATTGTAATAACATGTGAGAATTCCCTTGGAGTCTTTCAACCGGAGCCGATTGTCCTCAGTGAGGGGTCTGTGGCAACGTCGGCAACCCACCAGACCTGTCTTATAACATGGACCAGGTCTCTTTACCATGCTTTGTGGGTGTTACTTTTTTGCCCTGTCATCACCATTTATATCCATACAACCAATGTGTTTATGATAAAAAGTAGTTTACCAGAGCACAAAATCCTTTACAAGGCACAACATTGTTTACAAGAGCACAATGTTCTTCATAGATCTAGCATCAGTTTTTCTCTCAAAGTGCACCAAATTGATGCATTTTATTTTGAAATGTACAAAAAAAATCTTTTCTCAAACTCAAATTGGCTTGGGGCCACTGCTGATATTGTCATCTCATAGCAGGGCCACTTCAACGTTCAAGTACTACAAGAAAGCACAATATTTCCGACCAATATATTTTCATTATACTTAACAGAATAAATGCAAACCGCAGGTTGTATACATTCATACTAGTTTTTAACAGTGAATTTTTCCCTTACTTTATTTGAAATATCTTATTGAAATCTTGCACTGAAATAACAAATGGATTCCCTGAATACATTTGTACTTTATTTGTTTTCTTCCCAGACACCTGGCAGTGCTTCTGCTCACACAACTGAGACTAATTTGCCCTGATCGAGGTCACAGTTGAAACCCTAAGTACAGCTTCAAGATGGGCATCACTAATCCTGGACCTGAACCGGAAATTTGTTAAAGTTCATAGTCGAGAAACGTTTCTCACATAGATATGTGCTTCCAAAAAGGCACATTACCCGAGTGAATGCTTAGGACAGCTCAGAGAAGGATGGAGGCAATCCACTTATAAATTGTCCAGTCATGTCTTTTTCTTGTGCCTCTCTGAATTTAGCTTTTAGCTCACTATTGCACTGCAAGTCAATAAATTCCATTTGCAACATACTTGGGACACTCCACATCAGCTGAGAAGGGCTCTGCAAACAGCTGTATTTTTCCTCAATTTCAATTTTGTGGTGAATGCTTTCACATTTTTATAAGCTGCTGTGATAAGCTGACCAGGGCCCTGGAGCTTCAGGTTTAGGATGCTCAGCTACTGTTTTATGCCTACTATGAATGCAAGGTAACCCATCTTGGATCATCAAGTTCAGGAACATTCCATTAATTTCTTCACCTCTGTTCTTATTTTTTAAAAATCTCCTGGTGAGCAAGTGAAGTACAGCACCATATGTTAGGCCCTGGGTTAGCGGTGCTGTTGAAAATTCCTAGAACTGATGTAATTGATACAAACATGGATAACAGAAAAGACATGTTCATATTTCAAGCATTTGCTGCATGTCTGTTCGATGGTAAACCAGCGCGCTCATACATGCAGCACAGCTCCTGAAATACAGTATATCCGTGGCTGTGGTAAGGCCGTGCATTTGACACAAACTCAGTAACTCTTCTGTCAATTTGAATTGGTCATTAACCCTATTGCTGAACAGAATATCGCCGACATGCAACATTTAATCCTTCAGAAACTGCCCTTCTGTAAATGGCTTTCCTGGTTTGGCGTATCCCACTCACAACATAACTTGCTTCAAATGCAAAAAAAGGCCTTATGCAATATACTTTGCTAAGATGTTACTCCTCTCTGTAGCTGAGTGGCTCATTTTTTCCATGTTCTCCATGTTTAGGCGGGTAATGACACTTGGGATTATATTCCTTTGAAACGGTGACTTTTTCATTGCATATCAGGCGGATGGCATTTCCATTAAACTCCACAAAAAATACTGCAATGTCCATCTTTCTTGAAACTGTCCTGTATTCAACATCCACTTTACTTTTCAGTTTGAAAAGAGACATCTTTGTTGTTTGCAGCCAAACAAAAAATTAAGGCCTGTGAAAATTACTCTCTTCTCATCAAAAACTAACCGGTCATGTGCACCTTTGCCATTATTTTGCATGAAACTAAATACATTTTTAATAGATTTGTGTTTTTATTTCAATTGTATGTGAAGTGGTAGTTTAAATTGGTAAAAAACAACTACAAAAATAATTACATAAAAAAAAATATTGAAGGCCGAATTATATTATATTTTTGGCATCATTTAGTGGGCCCGAGGGGTCTCTACAGAGTCCAAGGCCTTGTTTAGTGGGTGTAAAATTTACCATATTCACTATCTTAATTTAGCATGCTAGTATTTCCTAATTTTATCAAAGTAGAGTTTAGCCTGGTTGAAATGGCATAGTTCAGCAGGTTTTTGGGGTCATAAACCAAAATTTGGAGAATATTCAAAATGGTTCTAACTTTGGTTCCACCTCGTGAACATAAAGGGGTTACCAAAGTCATTACTATTTATCCTATGAGGTACATGAATGTCTGTACCCAGTGTCATGGCAATAACGTATTTCTGATTCTGATTCCATCTAATAATGCAGTTTTGAAGGAGTTATAGACTGGAACTTTTACTTGACAAAATAGACTAAAATAAACCAGAGACTTAAAAACCACATGCTTGAGTTTTGCATTTTGTCATGTAGCAATGAATAATGTTTGTTGTTGAAGTACAAATTTTGATAATATGTCCCTGCTCTGTCTCTTAGTATCTTGTCGTTAGCCTGCAGTCCCAGCGGTTCGTCATTTGTCTGTTCAGCTGCAGCTCTCAGTCGATCTGGAAGTGTAGAATCTGCACATCGACTTCCTATCCCGGTGTCTGGACACCTGCTGCTCTGGGACACCAAGACTGTGAAACAACAGGTAATTTACCAGCTAGTTCAGTAATAGTTATTTAGCTAATAAGCTACTGCATCAGAGCAGCATTAGCAGTTTAAAGAATACTCAACCAGACTCCTAGACGTTTCACTTTGACTCTCCAAGTGTCCTTTGTCATCGTTGTGTGTGTGAATGAGCATGTGCTCTGGCTCAGGAGGTAGAGTAAATCGTCCACTAATGGGAAGATTGGGGGTTTATCCCAGATGCCTTCAGTCCACAATTTTCACCTTGACTCCAAGTGTTCTTGGTGAGTATGTCAGCAGCATGCAAACTTTTTCCAGAAGGCCATCGGTATGTGTAAGATGTCATCTCCAGTGCCAAGCAGGAAATATGGTCACGAAAATGCACTTGAGTGTGACATGTCGGCTCTATAGCGCCCCCTAATGACTTTTAGCATTCAACTGTATTTTTTAAGCCCCTACTATACTAGAATATGTATGAAATGTTCCACACACATCAAAGCTTTGGGTTACTTAACGTAAACCCTGGTTCTTTGATAACAGATTGAGGTGTTTCACTATGGGAATCGCCTCGGCGTGACCAACTATGGAAGCTCCAATGACACCACGTCTGTCAGTGACAGACAGGTCGACTGTGGGAGGGCCCCGCCCCTACCTATTATCACAGCTGACTGCCTCCTCGCAAATCATTTTAGACCGATTTCTTTTCCGCAAGGAGGGTTGCGACGGTGAAACACCTCACTCTGTTATCAAAGAACCAGGGTTTACGTTAAGTGACCCAAAGTTCTTTTTCAAACTTCGTTCGGTGTTTCACTATGGGAGATATAGCCCACTCCCGGATTGCATGATACTACCCGAAGCCAAATATTGGGACTCTGGCGGGTTTGCCTCAAGCACAGCCTGTGCCAAGGAAGGCCCAGCGACATCGAGCCTGTAAAACCTTACAAAAGTGTGCAGCGTCGCCCATCTCTCTGCAGCGCAAATATCCTTCACTGAAACACCCTTGAACAGGGCCGATGAAGTGGCCATACCCCTAGTGGAATGAGCCCTCAAACCTTGTGGGGGCTGCAAACCCCTACAACCATAGGCTAGAGATATAGCCTCTACAATCCAGTGGGACAGCCTCTGGCAGGACAGTGGCTTGCCTTTGTGGGGAGTGGCCCAGGACACAAACAGCCCTTTCCTGAAACCTGCCAATCTACTCACATACACATGTAGTGCTCATACCGGGCATAACGTGTTAAGCCTTTGTTCCTCCTCTGATGAGAATGGAGGTGGGTGAAAAGCTGAAAGCTCCACCGTGGGACATCTGTAGGCCAACTCCGCCACCTTGGGCACAAAAGCCGGGTTGGGCCCCATACAGACCTTAGCCCGCCCTGGAGCAAACTGCAAGCAGGAAGTGCAAGTGGATAAGGCATGTAAGTCACTCACATGCTTTGCTGTGGTTAAAGCTAAGAGCAACACTGTTTTAAGTGAAATAAACTTCATCCCCACCGTCTCCATAGGCTCAAATGGGTGTTGAGAGAGGGCCCCTAACACCACCAACAGATCCCACAGAGGAACCAGTGGCCTGGAAACGGGGAGTTTACGGCATGCACCTTTCATGAAACGACATGCTAAAGGATGCTGCCCGCAGGCTTCTCCCCAAAGCCTAAATTTCGGGCTGAGATAGCCGCTAAATAAACTTTAATAGTAGAAAAGGCCCTTATCCACTAATTCTTGCAAGAAACACAGCAGGTCCACCACTGAACACTGAAACGGAATGGTGTGCCTCAGCTGGCACCACTTCTCAAAGACCCGCCATTTACCACTATAAAGAGAGCGAGTGGATGCGGCCCTGGCCATCTGAATGGTGTCAATGACCCGTGCAGGCAGGCCTGCCACGTTCAAGTTCCACCTCTCACGGGCTCCAGAGCGCTATGCGGTCTGGGTGAGGGTGGTAGATCTCCCCGCCCGCCTGGGACAGAAGGTCCCTGCATATGGGGAGGGGCCACGGCTCGTCCGCTAGAAGCTGTATTATTTCTGCTACCCAATGCTTGGACGGCCACCGTGGGGCTATCAGGATTAGTGACAAACCCTGTTCTTTCACTCTGGTTAGAGTCGGGAGATCAGGCTGAGAGGGGGGAATGCATAGAGCAGCACGTTTGGCCAGGAGTGGGCCAGCGCATCCACCCCCAAGGGTGCATTCACGTCCGACAGGGAGAAAAAACGCGGACAGTGAGCGTTTTCTTGCGAAGCGAAGAGATCTACGTCTGCCTGGCCATATTTCTGCCAAACTTGATTCACCACCTGCGGGTGGAGAGTCCACTCTCCGTACAGTGGGTTTCCCCGGGATAGAAGAACCGCCCCTCTGTTCAAAACGCCCGGGACATGTGTTGCTCAAAGGGACAGGAGCCTGGTGCTGCTCCACACAATAATCTTCCGAGCCAACCTGTGCAACTGCAGTGAGTGAGTGCCGCCTTGGCGGTTGATGTACGCTACCACCGTAGTGTTGTCTGTTTACACCAGGTCATGGCGTCCTTGGAGAAATGTTTGAAAATGCTTCAGTGCATAAAACACTGCCCAGAGCTCCAAGAGGTTTACGTGAGTATGAGCCCGCCTCGGGTCCCAGGTGCCATTCACTGTTCTGCCCAATATGGTTGCTCCCCACCCTGCTAGGGAGGCATCCGTTGTCAAGGTTACCCTGGATGACACCGCCCCCAGGGGAACACCTGACGTGAGAGGCGTTGAGTCCCCCCACGGGCGGAGGTGATATTTTCACTCTGCGGCTGAGGTGACGGCGTGGGCACAGGCGTAACGCTGCGAGCCAGTGCTGAAAATCTCTCATCTTCATGAACCCCAACTGTACCACAGATGTCACTGACGCCATTAAGCCGAGAAGGCGAAGGCATAGTCTAAGGCTCTGATGCTCCTCCCCTCCTGAAACATGAACTCGGGGGTTCTGTTTCACCTTCATCTCCTTCCTTTTCTTGGACGGAGGAGGAGAGGGAGAAGAAAGGCTGGTTAGGTCGTACGCTTCTTCGCTTCCCCAGGGTGGGAAGAGCAGCAAAGGAGGGTTTGTCCCATGGTTTAGGGTTTTCTGAACGTGGCTGCTGGTTAGTCTGCTGACCAGCTGCCTGTCTATACAGTCTGGCACCTCCCTGTCTCCCCCTCGTTTCTGTGGCTGTAGCCGCAGAACAAGCCCTCGGTGTCTGGAGCACAAGGGATGTGTCTCCGGGGCAAGCAGAGGTCCAAGGCTTCACCTTCTTGTTTCCTGAGGGTGCTGGTCTCTCTCATCTTTTCAAGAGCTCGACCAAACAGACCTTTGGCTGGGTCATATGCCGCATCCATAACCTCTGCCTTCTGAGCATCACTGAGGCCTGAGAGATTTAGCCACAGGCTCTCTCACCTGAGACTGCCAGGCCCATTACACGACCGCAGCCTTGCACTGCACCCCGTGATGAGCGTAGGATGAGATCGTTAACCACACATATCTCATCCCATAGGTTCGGGTTAGGTGCCCCTGTGTCCAGCTGACCGCCCATCTGCTCCAGGATTTCTGCCTGGTATGCAGATAGCAGAGTCATAGCATTTAGCCAGACTGTGCCGCATATTTATACATTCTCTGGAAAAAGGAGGCGGTGAGGCGATCTGTTTTACTTGGCAGAGAGATGTTTGAGGAAGCGGAGAGGGAGCGCCAGTTTGGGTGGAGGTGATAAGCCACTGAAGGATCGGCGGTTCAATCCCCGGCTCCGGCTCTGCTAGTCGCATGTCGATGTGTCCTTGAGCAAGACACTTAACCCCAAAATTGCTCCCGTAGTTGTGCCTACGGTGTAGAAATGTGATAGAATCTGAATTGTAAGTCGTCTGCTAAATGACTGTAATGTAATGTAATGAGAGGAAATGTGGATTCATCCTCCTCTTCATCCATGTCTGCTTCCTCACAGCCCGGCTCCACATTGAGGAGCTCCTAGAAAAGTGGAGGTATTTCCCTGCATTCAGCATCCATCATGTCCGCCCAGCTCGAAGGAGCTCGCGGCAGATGGGTGTCTTTTGTGGTGGTTCCTGACAGGCACGGGTCCTGCTTATTGGATACCACCACTCTCAATCTCCTTTCCAGTGCAAACATACGCCAACAACAATGCAGATGGAGATGCAGTAGAAATGTGGGCTGAAAACTGCCAGCTTAATCTGATCCACGACGCAAAACAACCAAAGTCCTTCAACAGCGGACGATGGAGAGCAGGTTACAACCCTGATATCGTGTTTGTCAGCCACAAGATCGTCAGATTAAGCAAAAAGCTGGTCTTGGAGCCACTGCCAAGGACCCAACACCGTCCCATTGGCATCACAGTCAATGCTGCAATAACCCCAGCCACAGTTCCATTCCGAAGAAGATTCAACTTTGGAAAAGCGAACTGGCTTGGCTTCCAAGAACATCTTGAAAGGAAGATAGCCCATCTCCCAGCAGACTCCAGGAACTATGACAAACTCACTAAGCTTGTGCATGAAGCAGCCCGCAAGAACATCCCAAGAGGATGCCGCACTCGATACATCCCGGGCCTTGACGCTACAAGTACCGAACTGTACGAGCGATACCAACAGCTCTATGAATCTGACCCCTTTGCTGAAACTACCACCGAAGTAGGTGAGAGACTCATGACCTCCATTTCAGAACGCCACCAGCTGAAGTGGAAAAACCTGCTGGAGACAACTGATATGGCAAAGAATAGCAAAAAGGCATGGAGCCATCCATCCATCCATCCATTTTCCTCCGCTTATCCGGGGTCAGGTCGCGGTGGCAGCAGGCCAAGCAGGCTGACCCAGACCTCCCTCTCACCGGCAACATGTTCCAGCTCATTCTGGGGGATCCCGAGGCGTTCCCAGGCCAGCTGGGAGATGTAATCTCTCCCGGCCACCGTACGGAGGAAGCTCATTTTGGCCGCTTGTAGCCGCGACCTTGTCCTTTCGGTCACGACCCAGAGTTCGTGACCATAGGTGAGGGTAGGAACGTAGACCGAGTGGTAAATTGAGAGCTTTGCCTTCCGGCTCAGCTCCCTCTTCACCAAGACGGTCCGGTGCAGCGCCTGCTTTACTGCTGCAGCCGCACCGATCCGCCGCTCCATCTTACCCTCACTCGTGAACAAGACCCCGAGATACTTGAACTCCTTCGCTTGAGGTAGGCACTCCATCCCCACCTGGAGGGAGCAATCCACCAGTTTCCGGCAGAGAACCATGGCCTCAGATTTGGAGGTGCTAACTCTCATCCCTGCCGCTTCACACTCGGCTGCAAACCACCCCAGTGAATGCTGGAGGTCATGATCCGAGGAGGCTAACAGGACCACATCATCTGCAAACAGCAGAGAGGTGATCCCGAGACCCCCGAACCTGACGTTCTCCGCAAGGCGCGCCAAAATGCATTATCCTGATGGCATACCGAAGGAGTTCGCTCGCCGTGACACGTTAGCTGAACTCCGGGTACTCAGCTCGGCTAACAAGCTAATGCTAACCGAAAACTGGTAGGCTCGCCGTAATGCGTTAGCCAGAGCAAATAATGTCACAGTCACCGACAACACCGGTAAACGAATACAGGGTAGTCGGAGAACAGGTCGCCTTGATGTGGACACTGCTCTAATATTCTGTGTAACGTCTAAATTATACTTCTTCCGAAGTACTTACTCAGCACACTCCAGACTAAAGCCCGGAACTGCGTTCGGCGACGGATTCCTAACGGGTCGTCTGTGAACTGTAGAGCAGAAATCCAAGCTAGCCTAGATGAGCTGAGGGAGCTATAGTTTCTTCACGGGAAGAAAGCGAGAATGATTTGCGAGGAGGCAGTCGGCTGTGATAATAGGTAGGGGCGGGGCCCTCCCACAGTCGACCTGTCTGTCACTGACAGACATGGTGCCATTGGAGCTTCCATAGTTGGTCACGCTGAAGCGATTCCCATAGTGAAACACCAAACGAAGTTTGAAAAAGAACCTGTGAACATTGGGAGAATATTTAGTGCTTGGGTTCTTGCGTGTCCATAGCGCGCCCCCTTATGGGTTGAGGGTCTTAGTTGGGACATAGTTGCTAAGATACTCGCTAAATTTGGTACACACATTGCTCTCATAATTTCAGACATACTTGCCATTGATGTCAGGTCATGTGACAAGACAACATTTTAGGCACTTTCCAGGTATGGAACTTTTCGAAACTCCTCATAGAGGATTCAACAAGTAAATCGAGTAAAATCTCAACACATTAATTATGCTAAACTGTAGAACTTTTTGGTTTTCGTGAAACAGCATTCCTGTGGCAAGGTAGGAAATGTACATTTTTCGCCATGAGTAGGAAGCTGTTGTAAGTTGAATTTACCTGTTCCGACCTGCCCCAAATTGCACTTGCTTGATACGAGTCCAAACCTGATGGTATCTACAACCCATATTGAATTATTGTCATTGCGGCACCTACTGACAGGAATCAGTCTCATGTGACAAAGATCATCTGATTTGAAATGATGATGAAATTTGCTTGTTGTGGTCTACACATGATATACAGCAACATGACGTGTGATTAATGCGTTTGTTGTGTAACAGATTAAGTTTCCTAATGACGCTTGCTTTTCGTGGTTGCAAATAGAAGTTTTGTACCTATTACCATTTTCGCCATTGTTGCAATCCACAGACAGAAGCGAAACAACAGGGAAGCAAAGGGGCAGTCAACGGAAGAGAGACACAAAATGCAAACAGCTGTTATATGCGCCACAAACAGCCCTTTCTATGTGCTTCCCCAGCTGATTTTAGAGAATCGTTCATAAAGTCAAAATAAATCGAATGCGCTGATAGTGCTACCTTCTCATGTCAGTGCTCTGAATAATACATGTTGGCCTATTCTTTGATTATGAAATAGCCATGTTATTTATGCATTATGAATTAATTCATTACCAAATATTTTCGGCACTGCAACAGTTCTACGGTGAGATTGGCAGAAGAATCAGGCTCCTTAGGTCTTAATCCTCAAATAGTCCATTATTCATGGTCACCCCTAGTTATTTCCTTCCTCAAATTCCGGGATTCAGATATTATTTTGCCTAGACTGTGATTCGAAGTCTGTCTCTTTTGCATGGATTCCTGTGCCTGTTTCATTTGTCGGAGCGTCTCTTCAAACTCGGTGTTGCACTCGCGTATTTCGGCAACACCCTGCTCTTCTTCCTCGACTCGTGTTGTTGTGGTTTTCAAGTCTTCCCTGATATCCCCCATGGCCTGGTTCATCTCGTCTTGTCTCAGTGTATAACAAAAATAACTCTGCTTACTCTTTACATCTGAGCATATCGCTTTAATCTCAGTGTGTATATTAGATAGCAAGCTAGCTTTGGTGTGCTCAGGCCCATCTGTGTTCGCCAATTAAGCATTAGTGTCGTTGTTACATGCCATTTCTGGTCTCTCGTTTTTATCTAATCTTGTAGACATATGATCTTGGCTCTTCTGAGTTTTATTTCGACTACAGTCTTTTCATATTAAAGCAGTGGGAAATATTATTTAATATTATTATTAATTGGGTGGAAGAGTGTTTTGTCAGCCTGCCATTTCTTTACAGCATGCCAACCAGATGTCAGGGAACTGGAGTTTTGTTGATGAGATGACCTCATTGGCCACAGTAACCTATGGTTACTTTAAATGTTGAGTCCACAGGCAGAGTTCAGGGGATATCAGGTTACAGTTACTGGAGGTGATTAGAGCAGAGTTAATACTGTTTACATTTCACAAAAGAAGTTCAGTTTGAACACACAATACAACATTAAAAATTCACCTGTGGCACCTACAATAGCGATGGGAAACGTTCAAGTCAGGATGATTGTCAAATTGGTCATGTGGGGGTTAAAACTAACTAAACTTGACTAACTAATTTTCTTTGAATAACAAACATTGGCTGATGTGTTGCATCCATGTTTGTTTGTGTTTTCAGACATTTCTATATCATTATGCGCCAAGAAAGAAATATCATAGTTTTCAGAGGATATTTTGTAATATTTACAAGTGGATGTTAACATGAAAGCTCGTAGCTGCCATGTTAAAATTTATATTTCCTTACCATTATGTTTATATGCTAACATTGAGTATGTAAAAAGCCTCTATGTACAGCGGAACTATGCTAATGTTTAGCATGTAATGTTTATTCACACCAACATGATATACATTACATTGTAAAACTAACAGCTTTATGTGTACACAAATGTTATTAGGACCTATGATAATTAGCATTAGCATGTTTAGCATTAGATTTAGTGTATTCAATTCCTGTGGATGTAATATAATCAGTGTTCTGTCTGACTCTCAGCTCCAGTTCTCTTTAGAACCTGAACCAGTAGCCATTAACTGCACTGCCTTCAACCACAATGGAAACCTGCTGGTGACTGGGGCTGCTGATGGAGTCATCAGACTGTTTGGTCAGTGTTTATTAGGGACACATCTAATGATTATTTTTATTGTAGATTCCTCTGTTGTCTATTTCTGATCACTTTCACTGTAAAATCTTAGAAATAATGACAGATGACCTAAATTGCATCAGGAGCTCAAAGTGACATCTTTCTACCTTTGTATTTTTCTGATTAGCAGTCAAAACCAGACTCTTCTTCTTACCAAAGATATTAAATCAGTCCTGCCCATTTTTATATCTTACTGAACCATCTTAAGTACATTAAACAGCACATTGTACAGTACAGTATATTGATGTGTAATTGCAATAATTTGCTTTGTGTAAACTTCCTGTAACATTTACATATGGATCACACAGTCCTCTGAAATTTCTGTTTTAGATATGCAGCGGTATGAGAGCGCTATGAGCTGGAGAGCTCACGATGGAGAAGTTTACAGTGTGGAGTTCAGCTACGATGAGAACACCGTCTTCAGCATTGGAGAAGATGGCAAGGTATGTGTTTATTTTGTGGAAGCACGTTGGATGTTTTGGAAAGAAACAATAGCAGTTTTGTATTATGTAGAATCAGTTTTGATGGCCAAGTAAGTGTGAACACATGAAAGGAATTTGACTCCTGTATTTTGTTGCTCTTAATGCATATGCACAGAAATCGAAATACAGCTAAAAACGGGTACAACAAAGCTGAACTAAGGTAAACATTTGACTACTGTGTAAGACAATAGTGACATTTTTGCAAAGGGTGCTGGAATAAATTTGGGTTTTCAAAGATTCAAGGATAATTTATTGTCATTATGCAGCACAGGGTTGCACAACCAAATGCGGCTATAGCCCGTTTGCTACTCAAGTCAAACTGAAAAAACAAAAACAGTGGTGCAATCCTGTAGTGCATTTTTGGAATTTGCATCAGGATGACTGTAAACAGCAGCAACAAAACAATTCCCTGGGCAGATAATATGGCCTAAATCTTGACTGTGGGGGGAGTCGACTCTGCTTTCGGTGGAGTTTGGTCTGACAGGTCTGACTTGGTGGTCATCAGTGGGCGGTGATCATCTCAACGTCCACAAATTAATCTTATCGCCACGATTCCTTCTCCAATGTTGATGAGTGCATTGACATGCCATAAGTGTTGCAGTAATGAAGACAAACAAATGAAGACAAAAATGTATTGAAATTAATGGGAGCTACCGGGTGCAGGAAGGGGTGACGGATGGTAATAGTAACAAAATTGTCATGTACATACATACATGAAATTGTACCTCTGCATTTAACCCATCCTAAGCATTTAAGTGTAGTGAGCTGCTGTGAAACACTCAGTGAGCAACTTCAGTGTCTCGCTCGAGGACACCTCTATATGTGAATAGTAGGAGCCAGGGATCGCCCTGTCAAACTTGTAGTTAAAATAAGTAAAAATGCGGTAGATTACAACAGTGATTCTCAACTGGTGGGACCCGTCTTCAGTGGGTTGCGAGTCTTTGCCTGGAGGAAAAAAAAAAATCCTTTGCTTTTATTTTGAAGGGGATTTTTATGCAGCGGAGTTATTCACACTCCTTAACAGTATTTGGCGTTAATGCCTTCTAATGCTAATAGACACCTGCCATTTCACAGTATAGAAGAACACCCACAAAGTTTTTTTCATGTGCTAATTGAGAGAAACGCAAGTACAACACCGACTACATGAGATATGGATTTTCTTACATTGAGGACAAAAGAGGGCAAAACTATACCTCTGTCAAATGACACTACACTGTAAGTAGGCGAATTGAAGACATGTCGGATGACATGAAACAACAGATCACAGCTCGAATTTAGGCAAGTGGTCATTTTGCATTACAAATGGGCGAATCTACAGACATAACAAACAAAGCAGTTTTACTCGTTTACATGAAACATGTGTGGGACGGGGACTGACGGGAACACTTTCTCTGCACAAGAGAGCTCCCTACACTACGACTGCAGAGGACATTTTCAGCTCAGGTTCAAACTGCACCATCTTTTCATTAAATGCATTTGAGAAGTTGAACATTCGGGTCGCGGCTTGTCATTAAAGGGTGATTGTGGGTCCTGCAGCGACACCAGTTGAGAACCACTGGATTACAAGACCAATCTTAAGTACTTCAACACTGGTTGGCACACACAAACTGATTTAAGATGTCACAGTGTACTTACTGTGTTGTCTGTATTTTGGTAGTTTATTTGCTTGAGTCCCCAAGAACAATGAGCAAGGAGTCTGGGTGTTTTTGTTTCCCGTCAGTAATCTGGTCAGCCAAATGTTGTAACACCTTAGTTGGGATGTAAACACCAACCAAAATGAACAATATTATTATATTGTATTGTATTTATTATATTATATCATATTTTATTACAATAATTTAAGAAATGTATTTGTTTATTTTCAGTTCATCCAGTGGAACATCCATCGGTGTGGGGTGAAGCAGTCGGAGCAGGTTTTACCCCAGGATGCCACCGGGCCCTTCATCCTGTCAGGGTACAGTGGATACAAACAGGTAGGTAGCGTTAACATAGAACAATACCTCACAGACTGTCGTAGCTTTTATTTATTTGGATCATTTACTTCTCTTTTACTAAATCATTAGGAAACTGGGATGACATCACAGTTATAATAGATAAGGTAACAGGAAAATATATCCTGCTGATAGAATATTAGGTAAAATGAATTTAATAACCTATTGATCTGTAAATGTGTGAATGAACTCTTGCTTAGGTTCAGGTTCCTCGAGGTCGACTCTTTGCCTTTGACTCTGAAGGCCAGCACATCCTGACCTGTTCCAGCAACGGAGGACTTATATACCGAGTAAATAAACATTCATAAGATAAAACTTTCAATTATCTAGAGGGAAATTGCTTTGCCTTGCTGTCTAACTGAGGGGTCATTTAGCAATTACCATCACCATGGCAACCTTTGATTGCTGACTCAACAGTTAAAGTGGCCAGCACCAGAAAAGGCTACTTAAACATTTTCTTCCCACAATTTTCATTATTCATACATACAAATGTAGATAAGTCTGTGCTCTTTCAAAAATGGAGCTGAGGAAGGAAACGGACAGACATTTGACCATAGGAGCCTGAAAGGGAGAGGATCTCCCACTAACGGCCGCATAGGCACTTATTTCAACTAGCACTAAACATTTCTGGATGACAGCAAACTTTATCAGTTCTCTAACCTGCTCCCATTCTCAGACACGTACGCACACAAATTGGATTTGTAGATTTTCAGGCAAAATACTTTCATCTCATATCCCTGTTCTTACCTCCAAATGGACGTCAGATAATCTGACTCTGTCTCTCTCCCTCACCCACATTCCACCCCTTCAAAATACAAGCCCCATAGGCCCCAATCACACGAGACTTGTAGCTATAGTAAAGGTAATGGACTGTACTTGTATAGCACTTTTCTTCTTTCTTGCTTTCTGACCACTCAAAGCACTCTCACACTACTTGTCAACATTCACAAACTTATGGCAGGGGCTAAGTGCCACCTGCCTATCAGACTAACTCATACACTGTAGGCACAGCTACGGGAGCAAATTTTGGGTTAAGTGTCTTGCTCAAGGACACATCGACATGCGACTAGCGGAGCCGGGGATCGAACCGCCGATCCTCTGATTGAAGGACGACCCTGCTCCTGACCCGCTTTGCCTGACCTGCTTTGCCAAGGCTTTTTTGAAGCAGCTGCACCTGTAGCAATGCGTATTGGTGTGATTAGCCCCATAGAGTAACTATATGTAAATAGAAGGCTGAGGTTGAGGCCTATGGAAAGACCTCCCAATGGACATTATACAGTGTCTCTCTCCCCCAATCAACCCCTAATCCTTCAAAAAAACTGTATGTTAAAAGTGGGCTAAAGTTGAGGCCTAACATACTAACATCTCTCTATGGACATGAGACAGTCTGCCCCCCCCCATCCCCCCTTTCTCTCCACCCCTTCAAAATAGAAGTCACATAGAGTAATTATATCTTAACAGTAGGCTCATGATGAGGACTATCATGCAATAACTTCCCTATAGAATAATCTCCCTCTGGACACCAGACCGTCTGATTCTGTCTCTCTCCTCCTCGCTCCCCCACCTGCCAGCCCTTCAAAATAAAAGTCACTGTGCCTAAACGGGAAGCTCAGGATGAGGCTTGTTTGATTAAATAAAAGCCCACCTCCTTGTATGTACAGGAAACTAGCTTTTCAAAATAAAAGCCACCAAAATGTGCCGCACAGCGACAGTTTTTCCAAACAGCTTCAAACATTCCACATCTTTATACATTTTTTAAGTGTTTTTTTTTAACTTTTCAACAGTATTCATACAAATTTAACCCATTAACGCCTTTCAAAAATATTCCTTCTACTTAATTTTCCTAAATATTTAAGACATAAGACAGCAATTCAGCATAGCATCAGCTTGTCAGCATCCAGCATTAACACAGCAATTTCTTCAGAAACTGTCTTTCATGCTTTATTTATCTCAGCTTCTTGAAATGCTCTTTTCTGCATCTTGATTTTCTTTTAGCTTTTTTTAAATAAAAAGTTAAATGAACGACAGTAATTGTGAAGTTTTTACTGGTTAAACCAACATATTTTAGTTTAAATGTTGTTTTATAGATTTAAATTTTTCTGACATGTTTTCCTTTCACCTCCCCCTCTTCGAGTTGACCAATGGGGAGCCCGCTCTGGAAAGCATGCTGTCACTGGGGGGGCACAAAGCGCCAGTGGTGACAGTTGATTGGTGCTCCGCGGTGGACTGCGGCACCTGTCTGACCGCCTCCATGGATGGGAAGATCAAGCTGAGCACGCTCCTGGCACAGAAGTCCTAACACACCTGAAGGGTCAGAGGTCATCAGAATAAATGATAAACTGATTCAGTTTGCCCATTCGCTGATCGAGATTATTCCAGAATCTGTTAATACAGTATGTAATTTGTTTAATCACAAAACAGTAAAAACTCACCAACCTGTTAACAAATCATATTAACATTAAAATCCCACTGAAAGTTCAATTTGAAAGCAGGTTTTTAATTAAAGCAGCATGATTTTGTATTTTCCAGGCCTCTAGAGGAACTCCACAACAGTCTGAAAGATTCACAGCTCTGACATATCCTCACCTTTTGGAGTCGTGACCGAAATGTTAGCAAGCAGCTGTCTAATTCCACATGAAGCAGAGCAATGTTATACACTTAGAGTTGTGTTTCTGGCCACCTGATCAATGTAAGTCCAATATTCACTCTCCTTTTATCTCTGGTTTGGTTTCCACCAACTTCTATGGAAAAAAATTTGGCTCTTTGGCTGCTAAATGTTCCAATTTCTTCACCAGCTAGCTACTAACTGTGTCTGTCTGCTGTTTGGTGCTGGGCAGGCAGTTGTTGTGAAGTGGAGCTTCTAATTGACGACCAAGACACGTCTGGTTTTGAACGGAACACTTTACTTCCTGAAACTGCAATATAACAACTGTTACAGTGAACAGACCGCGCACCCGACATATAGGGTTTTCACTTAGCATCATCAGCAGTGTACAGTTGGTTTATCTTGCTTGTTTGCTGGAAACAAGGTTGAAAAGAGCATTGAGACTAAACCATACAGTAAGTGTGTAATGAAGCAAAAACTATAAGCTAAAAGAGGCTTAAAAGCATAGCATCATATACTGATTTGATTAGAAACAAGTTATAGGTTATAAATGAGATATTCTGAAAAGTAGCATTGCCCCCTATGGCTCTCAATGTGGTGACGGCTGAACGGATATGTTGCAGCTAATGGTGCTACAGTGCAAACAACGGTTACAGTGCTGACAATGTTAACCCTAGGAGGAACCGGAGGGTGGGCTGTACACTTCCGCAACAATGCTGAAGGTCGGGATGGCTTTATCACTGTCACCACCATATCAACACCTTGCAGAGCGGTGGCCATGAGCTAGCCAGTGGGGCATGCTCTGTGCACTAACACACTAGAAGGCAGGTGCGGCCGGCCCGGTTATGTCAACAGCAAAGAGAAGCTCTGATTACAACATATACAAGGAGAGCAACTGCATTATCTGCTCAGGTAGCCATTACTCCACTCTATCTTTACATTGCAAATTGTTGTTTGCTGCTATATTAATGTACTGAATATCATATATAGAACCTTTAACAGAGTGGGAAAAACAAAAAAAAACACTGCTGGTCATGCAGCAAGTGTCCCAGTAAGCCATGACAAGGAGACAGCATATATACTATACAAGAGCACTGGTCAGCCATCATTCATTTTAGTATTTACACCTGTGCTTTTCCTAAACGTCAGAATGTCTTTATCAGTGCATTCATTATTAACACATTTGCAATTAATTAAACACAAACTGTCTGCCACATAGTGAGCCTGGAGCTTTCAGGTCTGGGGGCCTATGGGGCAGTTGATTGCTTTGACTTGGGTGTAGTTAGGTCCTATGGTGACATTGTCATTCTGTCTTAACAGCAAAGATTGTTTTCAAGTATTTCGTATTGTATGTTTGATTTAAGCTGTTAACATTTTAGTCTGGTTTTATTTTGGTCGAATATTTTTTTTTCAATTTCAATATTTTTTCAATACATTTTATCACAGTTTGCAGAGATAGTGGCTGTTTTTCACCACAAGGGGATCCCTAACAGTATGTGCCGTAATTCCTTACAGCGAAGAAGTGAGGGCCACAACAATAACATACAGCTAGCTACACTGAGACGAAGACCTATGAAATATCCCGTTTTTAGCTCGTAAATCATATTTTAAAACATTTAGTCAGGACGTTTCCGTGAATAGCCCAAAATACGTAGTTAAATTCAGGCACCATGTTGTGTTCACAGAAATAACATGATGTCGTTGTGACGCGCAGGCAATATAAGCTAAGTAGCTGCATCGTTAGCTTGTTTACACCCAGTTCGATTCTCTTTTCGGTTTTCTGTTTAATGTCACTGGTCTCTGGTTCCGCGCGCAGACATGGAGAGCTTGTACAAGCGGAAAATGTTCGCGTCCATGCGGAAAACCAAAGTGGACGCATCGAAGAAGCGGCAGATTGGCCTGCCCGCCTCCATCCTGGACGACAGTGACGAAGGCTCCTTCACCTCCTCCTCCTCCTCCTCCGGATCCCAATCCGACTTCCAGAGCTCCCCGGGGGAGGACACCGAGCAGGAGGATCGCGGCCGGAGCGATTCCAGGTCGACTTCTAGCGACGACAGCTGTTCCGTGACCCGCAGAAAGCGCTCGTTCTTGGGAGGCGACAACAGCTCCTCGTCCTCCAGTCCCGGGAAGGAGGACACAACTAATGAGGAGGAGGGGGACAGGAGCCAGACAAAGAGGATGGTGCAGCCAAAAAAGCGGAGCAGGCTGCAGCGGCAGGACGAGTCGGACTCGGACCAAGCGGAGGAGAAGTGTGGAGAAGAGGCAGAGAAGGAGAAGAGGAGGCAGAGACACAGCAAGCTGCTGGCGCTGTCACGGAGGATGAAGGCCCGGGTCCCGAGCCGAAGGAGGAGCCGCCTGAAGCAGGTACACTCTTAGACCCCCATCTCACACACAACTATAGACTTTAGACCTAAATGTACACTGCATTGATTTAACGATCGAAAGCAATGGTAAAACGACAGAGGCATATCCTAAATCTGGACAGGACTGTGTCCTTCCTGAAAGTTTCTTCTAACCACCTCAACTGTTAATTTAAGTTCTTTAGTTATTATTTAGTTTGATTGTCTGAAAACAACTCATCTCTGCAGCACTTTTCAGCAGCCAACTATCAAATCAAAACTGAAATGTGTTTGTATTTTCAGGGTGGGGGCGATGAGGAGTTCAAAGAAGGTGAGGATGAGGCTGGTGGTGATGAAGATGTAGGCGGCAGACAAATCGGCAACAAACAGGCTGATGAAGCAAGCGGAGTGGAGGACAAGGGCATGGAGGAGGTGATAGAAGAAGAGCAGCAGGAGGGGAAGAAGTAGATCCACTCCGTGATGGAGAACAGAGAGTTTGAATGTGAAGAGCTTAATACTTAAACCATGTGAAAATGACTCATAACTGTTAGATTGTATTGTCCTACAGCATTTACAATGGAAAACAAAGACACTAAGAAATGGAGTTACAAGGTCATATTGTGTTGCCATAGAAACAAAACATTGGTGACATGCAACAAAAAGATGTGCAGATGATTTAGACCGGCTCGTTGATCTTTTATCACGTGTGTTTTGTGAAGGAGGTAGACCCTGAAATGGGACACAGCTTTATAGCGATTCTGAGAAAAGTGGCTCATGGATATGCAACTCCTGGTTCACTGTCATATGATCATTCTTAGTACCCTTGCTGAACTACTGACGTATATCTTGTCAAGTCAGTTTTATTTATACATCTCAAAGCTAAATATCCCTGTTATTGATCTTAGATCGATGTCATGACACCCATGTTACACCGATAGGTGCAACTTCACACCGGCAGGTGAGCATGGACGGTAACGGTACATATGACGGTATTTTAGTTGAATGGGTAGAGCACTGGTATAGCAACTGCATGGCATAATTTCAGCCATCCCGAAATCAATGTAAACCTACAATTCTAAATGTTATCTTTTTACTTTGCTATTGTCATCCATAGTGGCTATTTGCAGAAAACACATAATTCAAATGAATAGAAAATAAATTATATTTTTATTGAAATGCTTACTTTGATTAATAAAAACTCTTGGCATTAGAAGTTATAATCATGTATTATACGCTGCTTAGAGCTAGTGTTAGGAAGTTAAACGGGTCATAATTCCCTCTTTCATTTCTATTTTATATGGCTGTGAAAATATTTCCTTCAAACTGTATTAATTCAAGTTTCATCCGAAAACCTAAATTTGACAAGATAACATTGAACACATATTAGCGTTATGATATACCTTCGCCAAATGCAATTTTTACTGAGTACGAATCAGATCCAATTAAGTTAGTTGTTCCAAATATTTTAAGGTTGTTTCTACACGACTTATGTTGGACTTGCAGTTGTGACAAATTTTGAATTTGATGTCGATGTAAAACTGCGGCGGAGCAACTCATGTAAATGTGAACGGCACAAAATCTGAAATAAGAAGCAGATGAGTGACCACCCATCATGACCGATCAGCTGAAAATGAACCCTAAGCTCTTCTGGTCAGCCCGATATAGACAAAAGTTATGTCATAAGAAAAAGTCATACCAGTGTACTTTCTATACCTTTTCTACCTTCCATTCCTAGTTTGAATGCAAAACCATGAAAGTCTTAACCTGATTATTTACATGTTCTAGTGTTTTTGACGATAAGAAGCAGCAGTGTTGTCAGCGATTTGACCATTTATGTTAGCTATGCTAGCAAATATTCATTGTTCTTAATTTGTTCTGAAATTACATTTTTTTTTTATTCTGTTAAGAGGTTTTATCTCTCAGGGGACATCTGTCACATGCCGTGTAACAAAGTCATCAACTCACCACTTCCTGGCCTTTTTTCGGATATTTCAACATCATATGGTTTTCAAGACCAAGGGAACAACAAAATAAGTTGTTTTGTCGTGGCTGAAAGCTCCTCAAACAGCTAGTAAGTAGACCTATTATTTTGTCACACTACTATTCCTAAGGCAAATCATTTGCTTTCTCAAGCAAAAAAGCATGTTACTTGGGCTGCTGGCTGCCTGTGGGACGAGACTCTCGCCTGGCTGTAATATCAGTACATATGCAGAGGACACTGAGCTGAAGAAGGGTTCCTTAACTGTTACAAAAGCATAAGAAACATCCAATGAGAAAGCTTTTAAGTTCTTGTTTAGTTCCTATCCCCTTTAATACAGCCTGTTCAAAGTGGGACTAATGCACCTTTACTCTGCCTTGCTGTTCTGTATTGATGGTATAAAGACTGAATGGTGGTATAGAGTTTTTCCACCACTAAGCCGGCAGCAGAGATAGTCACTGAGCCGAATTGACGTCTGTATAAAGGTGATAGCTGGCATGGCGGTACTACACCCACACACTAGACACCGGCGCTGTTGTGTATCTTGTCACGCCTCTTTTGCTCCTTAAATCACACACCAGGGCATAAGCTTTGGCTGTAACATGGCATGCCAGAGCATTTAGTATAAACTATATGATTTTCAACACCATCATGAATACAGACACCCTGCTTTCTATGATGCTGAATTGATGTGGTGTAAGGTCGTGCACAGCACACGTCACCAGGGGTCAGTCTCCACTGCTTAAAAAGGAAGCTGAGCTGAAAAAGATGGCGACTAGGAGTGGTGGGGATAACATTATGTTTGGGCGGTATTTTGAGTCTAGACCTCTTCCAACTACAAAAACAGTATATAGCTAGGTCATTTTATTCTACTGCCAGTCTGCTACCACCACCCGTATATCATCTCCGTTCAGCCCACTCATGTGCCGGTACCCACTGTATTCGCAACGTTACTGAGTGTGCGGTCGAAAGAGAGAAAGTGAGCTGTGAATATAGCAGTGAAGGTGTGTCTAGAGTTTGGGTTGTTTGTTGGTGAATAAATGCTACAACTCCTAAAGTCCCAAGCCAAGTTCCCGGGGCTTGCTTGCCACCGAATGATTAAAGTGAAAGTTAGCGACAACTTCCGCTCAGGCTGACATATGAGAAGCATCTCTTCAGAGTTTTGTAAATACACCGTATACGTATGTCATGAAGGTACAATAATACTGCCCAAGCACACAGGGCCAGCATTATGGCACCTTTGTTTGGTTCATTGTAAAAAAGAAAAGGAAACTCTAATTTTACTGGTCTGGAATGACAATGGCTGCTGAGGTTTCTGGGTACTGCAGTAATCAAAGATATTGATCATACCCAACTGGCAGCTCTCGAATTCTTCTTTGTTTTTCCTTCTCCTTTATTTAAGTTTTAGTTAAAACAAGATCAGCTCACTCTGTTCCTTTTTAAAAATATATATATATACAGTTGTGTGAAAAAGTGTTTGCCCCCTTCCTGATTTCTTATTTTTTTGCATGTTTGTCACACTTAAATGTTTCAGATCATCAAACAAATTTAAATATTAGACAAAGATAACAAGTAAACACAAAATGCAGTTTTTAAATGAAGGTTTTTATTATTAAGGGGGAAAAAAAATCCAAACCTACATGGCCCTGTGTGAAAAAGTGATTGCCCCCCCCTGTTAAAACATAAATTAACTGTGGTTTATCACATCTTTGGAAAGCTGAGTTCAATTTCTCTAGCCACACCCAGGCGTGATTACTGCCACACCTGTTCTCAATCAAGAAATCACTTAAATAGGACCTGCCTGACAAAGTGAGGTAGACCAAAAGATCCTCAAAAGCTAGACATCATGCTGCGATCCAAAGAAATTCAGGAACAAATGAGAAACAAAGTAATTGAGATCTATCAGTCTGGAAAAGGTTACAAAGCCATTTCTAAAGCTTTGGGACTCCAGCGAACCACAGTGAGAGCCATTATCCACAAATGGCGAAAACATGGAACAGTGGTGAACCTTCCCAGTAGTGTGATGGTCTGGGGCTGTTTTGCTGCTTCAGGACCTGGAAGACTTGCTGTGGTAAATGGAACCATGAATTTTGCTGTCTACCAAAAAAATCCTGAAGGAGAATGTCCGGCCATCTGTTCGTGACCTCAAGCTGAAGCGCACTTGGGTTCTGCAGCAGGACAATGATCCAAAACACACCAGCAAGTCCACCTCTGAATGGCTTAAGAAAAACAAAATGAAGACTTTGGAGTGGCCTAGTCAAAGTCCCGACCTGAATCCGATTGAGATGCTGTGGCATGACCTTAAAAAGGCGGTTCATGCTCGAAAACCCTCCAATGTGGCTGAATTACAACAATTCTGCAAAGATGAGTGCACCAAAATTCCTCTACAGCGCTGTAAAAGACTCATTGCCAGTTATCGCAAACGCTTGATTGCAGTTGTTGCTGCTAAGGGTGGCCCAACCAGTTATTAGGTTTAGGGGGCAATCACTTTTTCACACAGGGCCATGTAGGTTTGGATTTTTTTTCCCCCTTAATAATAAAAATCTTCATTTAAAAACTGCATTTTGTGTTTACTTGTGTTATCTTTGTCTAATATTTAAATTTGTTTGATGATCTGAAACATTTAAGTGTGACAAACATGCAAAAAAATAAGAAATCAGGAAGGGGGCAAACACTTTTTCACACAATTGTATATGATGAAACCACTGTCTGACAGGCCCCTTGCTGTCTGAAGAGGATCAAGACTAAATGATTAGAGCCAGAAACTTAAAACAAATACAGTTTAAAGGGGATGTTTGCAGAAATATCTGTAATTTTTTGGTAGTTTTCTCTTCTGTGAGTTATAAGTCATTTGACTCTGTGTTATTGTGAACTGACTTTCATTGTGTTTTAGACTAAAAAAGAAGACACATCACCTTTTTTTATAGCAATAACGATTAAATAAAAGAGTAATTTACAGAAGAATTGATAATGAGAATAATCCTTTGTTGCTGGCCAAGGTTATTACCCAAACTGTTCAAAAATGAGTGTTTGTTCTAATTCAGCTCTGATGAACTTAGACAGTGAGAAGAGATGTTCATTCTTCTTTGGGAACAGTAGTAAAGACAATTTCAAGCTTAATGGTCCAATTCGTAGCTTTATCCAGAGCTTTCAACTGCATGTCACACTCTTGAACGAATGGAGCAGTTTTACTTGTCATTACATGACCACCTGTGGGTTTTGAAGTGTGGTCATTGTTCTAAGAAGGTCTGGTGTTGGATGTGATTGAATGTCTAATGACTAATGGTCGATGACCTTTGACTTGACTAGTTGAGGTTGTGATTTGTTTTGGTCTGGTGTTCACAGAGAGCCAGTTGACCAAAAGTTCACTATGGCTTATGGTGAACCTGAGTCAGTTCCATGAAGATTGTGAGACGTGGCTGACAACAACAAAAAAAAACATGAATAAGCTGAAAGATAAAATAAAGGTTTGGAGTTACTTCTGACCAACCTCATATACGCCAAAGCTTTTACCAACATCACTAAAATTGAATATGTTCCAGTAAAATGGCTGAGAGGAAAGATGGACAGAAGTATGAAAATATAATGAAAACTACAAGAAACAAAAACAATTTTTTTGTATACGGTCGTAAGAGATTCTAGACATTTCTCCTAAATAGAGAAAACGGATTGCAGTTTGCAAGGATTGCACTTGCTGAAATCATTTCATTTAAGTCGATGCTAACATATAAATAGAACAGGAGAAGAAATGGTGTTTCCTTTATTTTGGCAGCCCCCTAACTTTGTTATATTTTTCTGTTCATTCATTTCTCTCTTAAGTCCGTTCCAGGGCTAACGTATAAATTAGACAAATAATATCCCATTTCAGAAGTTTTTAAATATTCCCTTCATTCCTTGTTGTACTCCCTTTTTTTAATCTTCCCTTCCTTTTTTCTTCCTGCTTCTTTAATGGTGTGTTGAGGTGCAGTCGTATAGATTGGAAAAAAGACCTCCCTCATCATAACCTCAGCCTAATTTCTAAACTTTGACAGCTGCAAATAAACTGCCAGCTGGCAAGAAACTGAGTTGTAAAGAACATTTTTTATGTCCAGATTTCAGTCTGCAGTTGGTTTGCCTTATGGCCTTTAATGCTTTTCGCTCAACCACTGGACTAGATTTTACAGAATAGTGAGGATAAACATGTCATAGTTGTTCTGGTCTTTTGTTGCTATATAAAGCTCGTCCGACCAACCTGCCCTGTTGAAAACACCTCTTTTATTGATAAAGTTTATTTTTAACAACAAATTTTGTGTTGGAAATGATCACATCTTAACTTCCATAGTACTATATTTCCCATGAATTGGCCTGCTCTAGCTGTAAGATATTGCTCAATGTTTATATGTGAAAGCCGAATGATAAACAAAGTGCTGAAGCCTCAGGACAGTAACATCGGAACAACACATTTTTGGCTCTCGCAACTACATAGCCCATGATGCTTTGACACAGCCTTCAGATGGATTTCATACAGTCACAGCCAAAAATATTGTCACCTGTGGACATTTTTTTGCTGTCAGAAAAAATATTTTGGTATTTATTCCAGTTTGCCCAGTCACACTCTGTTTGCCAGTGCTACATTAGTTAGCCTAAAGAGCAACACACCTCTACATAATGTAATAACAATGTATAAATATCAAGAAATATTAACAGCACCGTAGTTAATATTACCATAGTTAGTTAGTTACCATAGGCCTATGTTGATAACTAAAGTACGTTTACACTGTCAAGTAAATCATATTAATGTAGCACCAAATCGCAACAGAATTGATCTCATGACACTTCTTTTCAAAACAGGTCTAAACCATACTCCTTACAGAGACCTAGCAGGGGATGAGCAACTTGCCTGTGGTACCAGTGGAATCTGTAGAAAACACGCAACAAATATTTTTATACAAACACAACATTCAGCATCCGTTTTGTTGTAGGTCACAATACTGTGCAAAAAACTAACAAGATTATTGAAAGTTGTTTTGGTAGAACCAAGAATCTACAAAACACATCTTTTAAATATGCAGAGTATTATTCCTCTTTCGCCATAAAACCAAATCCAAACAATGCACAAACAAAACGAGGAATTGATATTATTGTGAAATGTTACACATTTGTTTATTTATAAGGAATCCTATTGTAAATATCTGAACACATTTTCTTGATAAATATGTTGCTATAAACTAAGATGTTTCAATGTTTCTATATCAGACTTGCAGTAATAGCAGAGTGTGATATATTAATTGGAAGGATACATTTCAGATAGAGGTACTTTGAATTTAAGCATTATGGGGTATAAATAGTGTAACTGTCATATTGCAATGTGTTTTTGTACAAAATCCATTAAATTACTGCCGAGGTACACACATTTTCTGAAATAATTTCTTAGTATACTCTATGTATTACATTTTTGGTCCATAACATGAATCATTGTAATGATCAGGTTGAATATCATTATTTCAATAATCTCTAGTCAAATTAGATAGCAAATAAAAGATAAAACCCAAGCATCCTTTGAAAAGTGGTAATTGTGAGATTATGAATGTTTTTCTACTTCTCGTGTACGGTAGCGTATTGCATTCACAAAAGAAAACAAATTATACACTTTATCTCATGAGTTGCCATCTCATAATTTCAAAAGAAAATCTCATAATTATGACAAAAGATTTCGTAATTATGAGAAGGATTTTGGCCACTCTATACTACAAAATAATTAAGATATGCCTTTCCCAATAAAACTTCAACAAAATTATGCCTGAGCACATTTTTCTATAAGTGTTGTAGAACAAGGAGTAGATAATTGCTGTATGAAGTGATTTTAGTGTAGTTACACTGCACTGCATGCCATTGAAGTTATTGAATATGTTTGCTGTATGTCTTTTCAGCTTTACACCTTCACACAGTCTGCTGCACACAGTAGACAATATATTTGTCCAGCAGACCAATTACTAGATCGTTGTCTACCTTTCTACGGTTGCAAAAAGGCATCGTTTGTGTTTTCATATTTTTTTGCTTACGAGTTATTGATCCGGGAAGTCTGAATCTGTGAATATCTTTCCAACTTTACCGAAAAAAAGCTACCCTTACCCTTAACTTTGTCATAATTACGAAATACTGATCTCATATTTACGAGATATTTTGTCATAATTACGATATCTTAATTACACGTTATTTTCTTTTTATCACGAAACAGTAACTCATAATTACTACCTGGTGTCTAACTTTTTTTTTTTCATTTGTGAGTGCAATGCGCTTCCTTACTAGTGTTATTATTACAGGAAGATATGGGAAGCGAATTCTGCCCAATCAGATCCGAAAACAGTTCGCGTCACCCAATCTCCGCCGCCATGATTCTTAATGACAGTGAGTGAAGGCTGTGTGAAGGGTGAAGAACTATACATCCACGTTGAGGAGGAGCAACATCGGAGCTTCGTGGAGTAAAGGTCCGGGCGTCAGTGGGTGTCGTCCGGGCAGCCGCCATGGTTCAGACGTGTTCAGCATACGGCTGTAAGAACCGCTACCATAAAGACAAAGACATTTCATTCCACAAGTAAGTTCATAAACAATGCATGTGTGCTAGTTGGGTCCGTGTACGTTTTAGTCATCTGTTTCACCGTTAATTCGGAAAAACCAAAATACGGAAATATTCTCGTTTTTCGTTTCAAACCGAAAACGGAAATGGACGGTCGTATTTCCGTTTTTAGTTCTGAATTCAAAAACGGAAGAACCAAAGTCAAATAACGAGCCGTATTTCGTTTTTGCAAATCCCTTTTTTGTTTTTTTCCTTTAAAACGAGGCGCAGAGCACAACAGGTAACCCGGAACAAGAATATTTAAAAAAAAAAAAAAAAGGGAAGGCAATATAATGACCATATGCAAGAAATGTTTAACGTTATATAGTCTGTGATGCAAGCACATACCAGGGTAACATTAGAAGAAAATACATTCATTAATATAAATAAATAATCCTGGGCCGATGGGATTGTGTTAGCAGCGATTTAATTTAATTTATCCATGTACACAGTAAGAATCAACTTCTCAATGAATCGGTGCATTGTTTGATGCAATACAGTTCGTGATATAGTTTAATCAAAGTCGTTTTTGTGTTCACATAAATGTTGCTGTTGGCACTGATATTTCTTTGTCCACTGTATTGTTTTGATTTAGTGAACGCAGAGTGTAGCCGGTAAGCACACGCAAATTAAATATTCACCCGTTCTACCAATAGATGGCAGTATAAGTATTTAAACCATAGATTTAGTCATATTTACCTGTGCTTTTGTTAATTATCTAGGTTATTGATACAGATGTATTTAATGCTGATTATTTCATCTGATATTTCATGTGTATGGTCAACTTACATTAGTTGTATACATCATGTATTTACTTGTTATATTTGTGTCATTTAAGAACTAAACATATCTACATGGAAGAGCAAGCATTTGTTGATCATGAGGCAATAAATAATGACAATTGAAAAAATAAAGATGTTTGGTTTATTCTTATTGAACATTAAGCCGAATTTACCTACCTCATTGATTTAATTGTCACACTTAAATCCTGATATATACGTATGTATGTGTGTATATATCAGTGGCGGGCCGTGCATTTTATACCTAGGCCTGCACTCCTAAAATTGAAGTTCAACACCTACAAATACACTGAGTGCAGAGGCATGAATACCCGCATGACGGGATGCGGCGGCATTAACGAACAATGCACATAGTCAAAACACGCATTCCACCATACACTCAAGAGCACGGGCCATTCAAATATTATTCATATCGGAGGGAACAATATTACCCATATCATGAAAATGACACGATAGAGAAATTAACAGAGTAACTCTCCTATCACTCCCTCCAGGAAATACACGACTCCTTAGTTCTTGTTACTGACGGATTTATTCGTCTGTCAACACTGAGAGGGAAAATTAGTCCACATGAATCTTCAAAGTAGATTACTTCAAAACTTAAACTTTAACACTTTGCGCGGAGTATATAGACCGCTCCCGCTTCGCGCGTCTTCTTGTTGCTGTGCACCGGCTAAATGTGTCCCCAGCGCAACATAGGATGTAATAATAGTTCCTATCACATATAAAACTAAACGAAAATCCTTATTCATAAAAACAAGTTGTACAAATGATAAAAAATAAACAAGCATATTAAATAGTGACTTAAATCATATTTATGGCAGTTAAAGCTACTGCAGTTAACTTATCAGAGCTGCTGTTCACTATTTAGCTGCTGTTCCTCCTTTCTTTGTTAACAAAGAGTTTAATCTCACGGTTGTTCAGTACAGCCATGCATTTTAGTTCCAGTAAGAAGTCCTTCTCGATTCATGGACGCCAGTGAAGACAGTCGAGCCTCCCCACTTGTATTTCTTGAATACGTTTTAATGCGTTTGAGTGCTGAAAATGTCCGCTCGACAGAGGCAGCAGATTTTGGGATTGTCACCGCCCAACATGTCAGGCTAAATCACTGACCAATCACGTATGGCTAGGCCAGCTAGCAGGCTCTGGCACGTCAAAGAATACGCCCAACATGTCAAACTAAAGATCTGATTGGTTGAACACTATGACAATCAACAATATCGTCCCCATTCACTTAAACTGCAAAGGGCTGCACTTGTGAGTCTGCAGGCCTCGGGCCTCTCTTCTTACCTGGAGACACAGAGGTGAAATCTGATTGGATAAAAGCTCTACTTAAAACAAGCTGCACTGGAAGCAGAGCAACTGAGGAAGACAATAGCTGCGCAATGAGAAAATAAGATAATGGGAAAAATATTTTTATAAATTATAATACATGTAGTGTATTTAAGAAAAATTATTAAATTATAAAATAGATATAGCTTTGTGATTCTGTTTAGGCCAGCAGAGAAGGCCTTGATATATATATATATATATATATATATATATATATATACATACACACATACATACACATACGTATATATATATACACAGTGGGTACGGAAAGTATTCAGACCCCTTTAAATTTTTCACTCTTTGTTTCATTGCAGCCATTTGCTAAAATCAAAAAAGTTAATTTTATTTCTCATTAATTAACTCAGCACCCCATCTTGACAGAAAAAAACAGAAATGTAGAAATTTTTGCAAATTTATTAAAAAAGAGAAACTTAAATATCACAAGGTCATAAGTATTCAGACCCTTTGCTGTGACACTCATATTTAACTCACATGCTGTCCATTTCTTCTGATCCTCCTTGAGATGGTTCTACTCCTTCATTGGAGTCCAGCTGTGTTTAATTAAACTGATTGGACTTGATTAGGAAAGGCACACACCTGTCTATATAAGACCTTACAGCTCACAGTGCATGTCAGAGCAAATGAGAATCATGAGGTCGAAGGAACTGCCCAAGGAGCTCAGAGACAGAATTGTGGCAAGGCACAGATCTGGCCAAGGTTACGAAAGAATTTCTGCAGCACTCAAGGTTCCTAAGAGCACAGTGGCCTCCATAATCCTTAAATGGAAGAAGTTTGGGACGACCAGAACTCTTCCTAGACCTGGCCGTCCAGCCAAACTGAGCAATCGTGGAAGAAGAGCCTTGGTGAGAGAGGTAAAGAAGAACCCAAAGATCACTGTGGCTGAGCTCCAGAGATGCAGTAGGGAGATGGGAGAAAGTTCCACAAAGTCAACTATCACTGCAGCCCTCCACCAGTCGGGGCTTTATGGCAGAGTGGCCCGACGGAAGCCTCTCCTCAGTGCAAGACATATGAAAGCCCGCATAGCCCGCACAGACTATGAGAAATAAGATGCTCTGGTCTGATGAGACCAAGATTGAACTTTTTGGCGTTAATTCTAAGCGGTATGTGTGGAGAAAACCAGGCACTGCTCATCACCTGCCCAATACAATCCCAACAGTGAAACATGGTGGTGGCAGCATCATGCTATGGGGGTGTTTTTCAGCTGCAGGGACAGGACGACTGGTTGCAATTGAAGGAAAGATGAATGTGGCCAAGTACAGAGATATCCTGGAAGAAAACCTCTTCCAGAGTGCTCTGGACCTCAGACTGGGCCGAAGGGTCACCTTCCAACAAGACAATGACCCTAAGCACACAGCTAAAATAACAAAGGAGTGGCTTCGGAACAACTCTGTGACCATTCTTGACTGGCCCAGCCAGAGCCCTGACCTAAACCCAATTGAGCATCTCTGGAGAGACCTGAAAATGGCTGTTCACCAACGTTCACCATCCAACCTGACGGAACTGGAGGATCTGCAAGGAAGAATGGCAGAGGATCCCCAAATCCAGGTGTGAAAAGGTTGTTGCATCATTCCCAGGAAGACTCATGGCTGTACTAGCTCAAAAGGGTGCTTCTACTCAATACTGAGCAAAGGGTCTGAATACTTATGACCATGTGATATTTCAGTTTTTCTTTTTTAATAAATTTGCAAAAATTTCTACATTTCTGTTTTTTTCTGTCGAGATGGGGTGCTGAGTGTACATTAATGAGAAATAAAATGAACTTTTTTGATTTTAGCAAATGGCTGCAATGAAGCAAAGAGTTAAAAATTTAAAGGGGTCTGAATACTTTCCGTACCCACTGTATATATATGTATATATATGTATATGAGAGGTTCAATTTCCTGTTCCCAGCAGAATGAGCGGAGTTCTGAGACTAGATGTCCGCTGACAGGGCCATGCTATAGCTAACAATGTTGACAGAAAGTTAACTTCTTTAATAACCTAAATGATAATCAGACTAGGAACTGATTAAATGTGGTAGTGATACAATAAATACTATAGAAGGCACAAATCTTGAGGTAATCAAAGAGATATATTTCTTATTTTGACAGGTTTCCTCTGGCACGCCCAGATGTTAGTGCTAAATGGGTGGCGGCGATGAGGAGGAACAACTTTAAGCCAACAAAGTACAGTAACATCTGCTCGCAGCACTTCACCAAAGACTGCTTCAAGAGAGAGTGCAACAACCGAGTGCTGAAGGAGAATGCTGTGCCGTCGCTCTTCACCTTCAACCTCAACATCAAGGTGAAGCAACTGAGCACATTTCCATTGCAGTCCACACTCATTTGATTTGGACCAGGTAAAGGATTATACACAGAAATTTCAACTTTTAGTTCTGGAGCATCTTTATTAGTTCAAAATGTATCTATTTCTAACTTGTTTACAAGGTGGAGATTTACTCATTAAATTAAAACAGGCTGCACCACATTAGCTGGCTCTTAAGTAGAGATAATTTATCTAACTAAATAAGGATAAGGATGTTTATTGTCATCGTAAAAACATACAACGAAATTAAGTTGGCGACTCATCTGTCAGTACAGCAACCTATGAACTGCCAGGTGTAACTAATAACCTAAATGACTAAATACATTTTAGATTTCTAATAATATATTAACAGTTTAGATCGAAGAAAATAATTCATTGTCGGAAAAGCAAAGACGAATGAGATTAATGATGGGACTTTTGTTTTCAAGTACTAGTTTGCATGTTCATATCATTCAAGCTGCAGAGTGGGAAAAAATGTTCACATCAGCCAGTTGCATTTCACGTTCAGAGATATTAGGAATTTCTGACAGCTATGATATGTAGTAGAGGAACAAATCCCCAAAAAAGGCTTTAGTTTTTAGGATACCCCAACCCATAACCATGTTTTTTTCATAATTTATGTTGAGTAAAACAAAAGGTGTTTGTTTACAAGAGTGGCCCTGCTACACGTGTAACCAAACATATATAAACAAACAATACTTAATACTTAAGAAAGTAGGGGTCCGTGTGTAGTAGCACTCTAATATTTTGATTAGCAGTATTATTTAGGACACTTGGTGGCGGTTATTAGATGCACAGGGCTGTATAACTAGTGGCATAGGTGAGAGGAAGAGGTAGGCACAGGTGAATAAGGAGCGCATATGATTCTCACTAGACCAGACCAGAGGAACAGAGCAACACATTATAACTTTTAGAATAGGAAAACCTCTTACGTTCATTCATCTTTTTGCTCATACTACTTCAATCAACAAACTAAACTACAAATAATGACTGGAAAATCTGTTGTATTGGTTCTGCATCAAAGCATTCCTACCTAACTATCATTCCTACCCAACTGTAAAAAAGGACATTGAAAAAGCTGAAAATCGCCATTACAATATATCAAATAATAGACATTTCTTTATCATTCGAAATACATTCTTTCTTTATATGTTTTCCTTGAATAACATACCACATATGATAATACTATGAGCCAACCCATGACTCAATATTTTTGCGGGATTAGGCTGAATTACTTGAAAAATATAACAATATATCATAAATTGACTCATAAATGAATAATACATTGTAAACAGTATAGATAAACATCGGGGTTCTCCATATATGCATATTCTTTATATAGCTTGTTTTATCATTCAATTCAGAGATGTAAAGTTAATATTTAGCCTTCTATTTAGCATTATTTTAAGATTTACCAAGTTTCTCCATGGGATACATTAAATAAATGATTTTCTTCATACTAGCTTAGCTAGCTAGTCGGTGGTGGTAGTGCCATCAGCAAATTTAATGATTGTGCTGGAGAGGGCTGAGCACGCAGCCTTGAGGGGCACCAGTGCTGAGAGTCAGGGTGGAAGATGTGACTATCCACACTGGGGTTTGCCCGTCAGGATCTAATCACAGAGAGCGCGGTCCCTGGTCGCTTGAGCTTAATGAGGAGCTTGGAGCGCACAATGGTGTTGAAAGCTGAACTATAGTCAATGAACAGCATTCTTACATATGCATTCCTCTGGTCCTGGTCGAAGAAGGCATTGCGGCATTTTCTGTCGATCTTTTTGGCCTGTAAGTAAATGGACGAGGGCCCAGTGAGTCTGGGAGGGTGGAGGTGATATCGATTTTGACTAACAGCTCAAAGCACGTGATGATGTTGGAGGTGAGTGCTACTTTGTTGCGGCTTTCTTCTTTTTTGGGGCATTGACAGTAGGGATCTTCTTGAAACACATGGGAATTAAAGACTTATGCCAGTTGGTATGCACAGACCTTAAGAGCTCGGCCCCAGGGTCCAGGTGCCTTGCGTGGATTAATCCTTTTGAAGGATCTGCACACATCTGCCCTGGATATAATAAGAGGGCAAGGATCCTGGGCCATTTGTACCTTCTCAACTGGGGAGTTGTTCTCAATGAGTGTGCAGAAAGTGTTCATCTGGGAAATTTGCAGGCATTACTTCAGCACTGCTGTTTTTTTCTTTTGTAGTCTGTGATGGTTCTTAGTCCAGACAACATGCCTCTGTTGTTGGAGCCCTGGTATTCAGACTGCACTTGGTCCCTGTATTGTCTCTGGACACTAGTAGCTCTCTGTAGCTCATGCCTGGATTTTCTGTACTCATTTAAATTGTAAGTGTCAGTTTGTGCTTTAACTTTGGTACGAACTACCCTGTTAACCCAGGAGGGCCCTCAGAGATAGTAGAATAAATAGCTATGGACAGGGTCCAACATTGTGCTTTGAAGAAGATTACTTGATTTAATGTATCCTATGGAAAAACAAGGTACATCTTAGTAGGAATGATAAATAGAAGGTTAAATGTCAACTTTTTTATCATTGATTTGAATGGAATAACAATAGGCTATGCAAATACAGAGGACCTCGGTGTTTACTTACACTGTACGCTTAACCTTCATATACAAACACTACTATATAT